ATTGGGTAAAGTAGACTTTCTTTCCATGCCGCTGGGATCGTATTATAGGTTAGGTATATGTTCATTAGTTGACGTAGAATCTTTTTTCCTATTGTTTTCAGGTTTTTGAGCATCTCGTATTTGATCTTGTTGGGTCCTGCTGCTTTATCGTTTGGAAGATATTTTATTGTTGCTTTTTCTCTAGTACATTCCTCTCTTTATATACATGTTAAGAAACCCAAAAATCCCAAAAATCCCAAAAATCTCTCAAGTCCCAATTAAATCTCAATTGGGCGAGGATGACATATGTTGAATCTATCTAATTTTTTTGGTCCCTCTTACACTATATATTTAAACTTTATTTTAAAATTATAACAATTTTGAATTAAATTATGAAATTATGAAATTTTGTAATTTTGTAATTTTTAATTTTCAAAAAAATAATATTCTATTTGAAAATCTTAATAATAATTATTTATTAGTAATTTGGTATATTAAAAACAAATAAAATTTATTAACAATATTTTTAAAAACAATAAATTAATTGTTTTATTATGGTCGATATTTATAATTATTCAAGAAATTATATTTTTATAAATAAAAAAATATATAATTAAAAATAAGTTTTTAATAAATAGGAATTTATTATTAAATATTTTTAATAATTTTAATTGTTTAAAGTATTATAAATTTAAAAAAAAAATTGTTATTAATTATAAGATATTTTACAAAATATTAGAGATTTGAAAATAATTATAAAAATATATACTATATATATATTAATAAAATAAACAAAAAATATTAAATTAATCAAAATTTTAAATTATTTTGATCAATTGTTATTTTTAAAGTTTTAGTTAATACATAATTAATATTTTTTAAAATTAATAATTTTATATATCATAAATATCAAATAGTATTTTTATATCAAGTTAATATTAAATTTATTATAAATTAATATTATTTCAATACTATTTTGATATTAGTTTAGTCTTAAAATAAAATAATATAAAAAGATAGATAATATTATTAGATTATATACTATAATTAAAATTTTTTTATAATATAGGTTAAATAATTACTACAGGTTAGTTAGTATTTAACTTATTGCAAATACATATAAAATATATTTATACAATATACAAATAAGTAAAAAAACAACATTTACTTATTTAAATAATAATAATGATAACAAATAAAATTTAAAATCCTATTATTAAAATATTAATTATGAAAATAAATTATTAAAAAATTTTACTTAAATAATTTTAAGAAAAATTAAATTTTAAAATTTTTTTAACCTTATTTTATAAAATAAAAATAAATAAATTTTAAAAAAGTAACTATGTTATATTATAAAAATATGTACTTGCAATTTATTGTATTTGCATAGGAGAGGTGTTGTTTCTTTTATGATGTGTACCTTTTATTATACAAATCAAATAAAGGAATAATGTTAACCTATAAATAAATAGATATATGTACGTATTCGTAATTTTAATTAATTGAATGATTATTTATTTAAAACAAAACTTCAAAAGTAATTGGAAATGAATTCATATCTTGTTTTATGCTGTGCTCCAAATCATGCATGTACATGTAAATATATTGATTTTTTTTTGACACGGTACAATAGTAGGGAAATTTCACGACCCTTTCAGAAGGATTTCAGTTGGTCATCTTGTTGGATTATCCGCCTATTCCGAACTTGGTTAAGCAAACGAGATTTCATTGTTTTTTTCTACTAATCCTTTTTTTTTGTTATTAGCGGTCACGGAAACTTGAAGGCCTCGGGATTTTATTTACATAATTGAAGAAGATTTTTCTTAAATGTAAAAATACATGTGCTAAAATTAAGTTCATTGAACCCATTAAATTTAGGATTAATTTCTTGTATTAGAACTGTAATAGGATTAATAAAGAGACTTGTAGCATCGCATCACTCCACATTAAAATCATTTCTTAGTTTGGAAATACAACTCGTTTTAACGGTTCGCCTTAATTGGCTAATTTTATTTTATCAATCTGGTATCATACATGAAATCTATAACTTTAAATAACCGAGCGGATGACTCATGAACATTGGCTAAAAAGGGATTTCTAAATTCGAAATGAAATTGATATTCGGGAAGATGAAATTATATAGTCATATGGTTATGTAAGATATGTTATATGCATATAAGCGATTTGTATGCGGGTCACCGTTTCAGCCGACAATAAGAATTGACATTACAAGCATAACGATTAATACAATGGTTACTTAACCTTTTCTAATTGCAGGAAAATTCACAATTGTCATAATAAGAGCACATAAAAATTTAAAAGGTAATTTTATCAATGAAGCCAATCGTGTCGGTGTGGGAATTTTTTGGGTGAATGGGGCAACTGCAGAGAATTTCTCGATATCTATGAACTCACCTCTTCAACTTTCTTCCTTGCAACTCTTCCCATTGACACATACCCAATTGGATTCACGAGGCCCTTCGGCCATTCTCTCAGCTCGTTGAATTATATTACGTAGGGTTCATAAGTTTACAATGAACACACCGCGATCATTTACGGCTTCTCTCAAACCTCTTTGTGCAAGATCTATTCAAACGCAGCTTAAGAAATTCTCGTGACCACAAATACAAATCGATTAATGAAGAATTATTCTTGAAAGCTGAGAATCTACGCCGGTGGTCATGTCGCCATTTTACACAAATCGAAATATGTAAAGAGTTATCCACAACAAACATTACCTTGAGCACTCTTGACTAGGTTACAATTCACGCCAATGGGATGTAGTTACCATTCTGACCTTTTTCCAGAAATAATATGAATTGTCAATTATTTTCTTTCCTTTCGTTTGGCAGTTCAATAGACCAACTTCTAAATTTCGCCTTACATTTTAGTTCTGGAATTGCAACAACATACTATAATTTCTTTAAAAACCAATGTAGACATTATAAAGAAACAGGGCCCTTGAGTTCTATAAGAAGTTGGTTAGAAATTTGCACGTCGTCGCAGTACTCAATAAAAATTTTATTGAGTGCCTAGTTACACAATTGCGTGTAGCTAGCATACAATTCATTGAATATCAATGAAACTATTATTCTCTCTCATTTATATGCTTTTACATTTGTAAAAGCTTTTAAGAATATTCCTCGAATTCTGAAACAACATTATAATGACCAATTTCTTTTTCCCATGAGGTTTGGAGAGTCTATTCATTCTTTTATATCGAGTACCAATTGATTACATCTGATCCATTGATATTACAAATAATTCAAATCCAATACAATTGATCTATTATTAGTCATTATTTGTAGTGATGTATTCAAATTTTTATTTTCTCTAAACAACGTGCAGTATATTAAAGAAGAAGTATTGATGCTTTCATAATAAACAACACCTGTGGTCAACAGAAATCTTGGAAACAGGCATTCCCTTTAATAAGAAACTTTAATTTTGTGTTTTATTAACCTGGAGATCAATGAATTTCCATAACTAATGTACAGTACTGTATTTGTTTGCACGAACAAGCAACATGTAGCGTTACGAGGAACTAATGTTTCGTTCAAGGCAATAAAATTTCCAAAAGTAATATAAAAATAATAATATATCTTTGTACACGATCAGCTATATACAATAAAGGTTAAACCCCAAATATTTTTTTTAAAAAAAGTTATACGTATTTGTAAAAATTAATATCATAAATATTTTAAAAATACAGTATATAAAATTAAATAAAAAGTTTATGTACTGTATAAAGATAACAGTATGAATTAAAATAATTGTAAAAATACAATTCACTTTTATTTAATAGCTAGCTATTATATTATTATAATTATATATAGAAAATTCTCTCTAAATACACCTCTCTAAATGCATACCCTCTTTAAATACATTATTAAACTTAATTTCAAGTTGAACAATAATATTAAATGCTCATCTTTAATTTTTGCATTTGCAAAAAAATTTTAATCTATTGTATTAAAATATTTTTTATAAATGTACAACATATAATTATCATATAATATTGTATTACAAAAATTTTTTTAATATACTATATATATAATATTAATATAATTCATATATTTAAAATATTTTTGTCAAATTATCAAAAATATAAATTTTTTCTTTATGCCTATAATATTAAAAAATTAAATCTGAATATATATAAACTGAATTAAACAAAAAAATATATTGAAGTTAATAAATCAATAATTATTGGATTTTTTAAAATAAAAAATAAACAACTTTTTATTAAATTTACAAATCCATAAGTAAAAAAAATATAAATCAATTGTTATTTCAAACTTAAACTTGATTTTAAAAAATTTATATTAGTTTATTATAATAAAATAATTTTAAATAATGTTTTGATTTACATAACATTTTTCTTAAAAAAATTTTTTTATGGTAATTCTTTTCAAAATTAAAGAAATAAATATTTTTTTATTTTTTAATACTCAAAAGTTCTTTACATTTCTCTTATCTTTACTACAAGAATCTTAAGGAAACTAAAGAAGCATATTGATGCATTGGAGTGGAATCTCTAATCAAGGAAAAACAAGTTTAAGGAACTTGTTTTTTTCTTGAATTGCATGAAAAAAGATTTGTAACAATTGTTTCTTTATAAATTTTTTTTAGGATTTTTTCTATTTTTACTTTTTATTAATTCATACTTTTTTTTAAATATATAAAATTTTATTTAAATGACTTCTCTTTTATTCAAAAAATCAAACTTTACTTCAAAATTGTCTATATTGTTAGTTTGGAGCACTAACAATATATATAATACCTACTTTTCAATATCAATTAGTACATATTGCTATACCACAAAAAATAAAAAATTCTTATTCAAAAAATTTCTTATCAAAAAACCACAATTAGTTTACTTCTGTTAATTGATTACTATTTTAAATTCAACCAATCAAATATTATCAAACATCAAAACAAATTCATACTACCAGTATATTATACAATGATCAACATAAACAAAACCATTTTTAGTAATAATAATCAAAACAAAATCACATTATTGACAATAAAACCAATTACCATATCAACTACTAAATATACCAATACAATAAAAACAACTATTATAATAACAAACAACATCACATATACTTTATTATCAATAGTAACCAAAGAGCCAAAGAAATGGAACCATAAGCTTATCTAGAATTTTCTTAAAGAAATAATTGGTTTTTTACCTATAAATTTTATAGTTTATTTTACTTAGTTTTAGTTTTAGTAATGATCAAAAAATCTTACTACATTAATTATCAAATATATTAATATAACAATAATAACAAAAATGACTATTATAATAACAAACAATATCATATATATTTTATTATCTATGGTAATCAAAGAGCTGAAGAGATAGGATTATAAGCCTATTCAAGGTTTTCTTAATAAAATAATTAGTTTTCTACTTATAGATTTTATTAAAAATAAAAATAAAAATAATGTTTTTTTAAAGTTATAATTATTTTAATATTTATTAATTGAATTTT